GATTGGGGTCCGGATGGGGCCCGGTCCATCGATTCGGATCCGAATGGGGCTGGATTCGGATGGGTCCGGTCGATCGATTTGGGTCCGGATGGGATCCGGTCGATCGATTCGGAACCGGATGGGGCCCGGTCGATCGAAATCGGATCCGGATGGGGCTGGATTCGGATGGGTCCGGTCGATCGATTCGGGTCCGGATGGGGTCCGGTCGATCGATGGGGGTCCGGATGGGGCCCGGTCGATCGAAATCGGATCCGGATGGGGCTGGATTCGGATGGGTCCGGTCGGTCGATTTGGGTCCGAATGGGGCCCGGTCGATCCATCCGGATCCGGATGGGGCTGGATTTGGATGGGTCCGGACGATCGGCCCGGGTCCGGATGGGGTCCGATCGATCGATTCGGATCCGGATGCGGTCGGATTCGGATGGGTTCGATCGATCGACCCGCATGGGTCCGGTCGATCGATTGGGGTCCGGATGGGGCCCGGTCCATCGATTCGGATCCGAATGGGGCTGGATTCGGATGGGTCCGGTCGATCGATTTGGGTCCGGATGGGGTCCGGTCGATCGATTCGGATCCGGATGGGGCCCGGTCGATCGAAATCGGATCCGGATGGGGCTGGATTCGGATGGGTCCGGTCGATCGATTCGGGTCCGGATGGGGTCCGGTCGATCGATGGGGGTCCGGATGGGGCCCGGTCGATCGAAATCGGATCCGGATGGGGCTGGATTCGGATGGGTCCGGTCGGTCGATTTGGGTCCGAATGGGGCCCGGTCGATCCATCCGGATCCGGATGGGGCTGGATTTGGATGGGTCCGGACGATCGGCCCGGGTCCGGATGGGGTCCGATCGATCGATTCGGATCCGGATGCGGTCGGATTCGGATGGGTTCGATCGATCGACCCGCATGGGTCCGGTCGATCGATTGGGGTCCGGATGGGGCCCGGTCCATCGATTCGGATCCGAATGGGGCTGGATTCGGATGGGTCCGGTCGATCGATTTGGGTCCGGATGGGGTCCGGTCGATCGATTCGGATCCGGATGGGGCCCGGTCGATCGAAATCGGATCCGGATGGGGCTGGATTCGGATGGGTCCGGTCGATCGATTCGGGTCCGAATGGGGCCCGGTCGATCGACCCGGATCCGGATGGGGCTGGATTCGGATGGGTCCGGACGATCGGCCCGGGTCCGGATGGGGTCCGGTCGATCGATTCGGTTCCGGATGGGGCTGGATTCGGATGGGTTCGACCCATCGATCCGGATGGGGTCGATCGATGGATCCGGATGGTTTCGTTGGTTCGATCCGGATGGGTTGGATCGATGGATCCGGATGGGTTCGGTCAGTCGACCCGGATGGGTTCGATGGTCGGATCCGGACGGGTTCGATCGATGGATCCGGATGGGTTCGATCGGGCGAACCCGATGGGCTTGCCCCTTGGGTGCTCGCCTTGCCTTGTACTGGGTTGTGCGGTGCCCTGGGGGAAAAAAAGGCATCCGATCCATCCGGTCATATCCGGATGCTCGTTGGCTCTAGGGTGGTGTGGTGCCTCGAAAGGGCTCGCACCCGCCCTAGAGCCCTTTTTGCCCGGTTGGAAATCGACTACACCGGAAGGGCTTGTGGGCTCTAGGGCGGTGCCGTGCCTCGAAAGGGCTCGCACCCGCCCTAGAGCCCTTTTTGCCCGGTTGGAAATCGACTACACCGGAAGGGCTTGTGGGCTCTAGGGCGGTGTCGTGCCTCGAAAGGGCTCACACCCGCCCTGGAGCCCTTTTTGCCCGGTTGGAAATCGACTACACCGGAAGGGCTTGTGGGCTCTAGGGCGGTGTCGTGCCTCGAAAGGGCTCCCACCCGCCCTGGAGCCCTTTTTGCCCGGTTGGAAATCGACTACACCGGAAGGGCTTGTGGGCTCTAGGGCGGTGTCGTGCCTCGAAAGGGCTCACACCCGCCCTAGAGCCCTTTTTGCCCGGTTGGAAATCGACTGCACCGGAAGGGCTTGTGGGCTCTAGGGCGGTGTCGTGCCTCGAAAGGGCTCACACCCGCCCTAGAGCCCTTTTTGCCCGGTTGGAAATCGACTGCACCGGAAGGGCTTGTGGGCTCTAGGGCGGTGTCGTGCCTCGAAAGGGCTCACACCCGCCCTGGAGCCCTTTTTTTCCCGGTTGGAAATCGACTACACCGGAAGGGCTTGTCGGCTCTAGGGTGTTGTCGTGCCTTGAAAGGGATCACACCCGCCCTGGAGCCCTTTTTGCCCGGTTGGAATTCGATTACACGGGAAGCCTGTGGGCACTAGGGTTGGATGAACCCATGGGCCGGTTCCGATCCGCCCTAGGGGCAAAGAAACCAAGGGGGGATGGGCCCAAGGGTCGGATGAAACCATGGGCCGGTTCAAATCCGCCCTTGGGGTCCAATGGACCGGGTGGGGGGTAAAAAAACCGAGGGGGGATGGGCCCAAGGGTTGGATGAGCCCATGGGCCGGTTCAAATCCGCCCTTGGGGTCAAATGAACCGGCTGGGGGGGTCAGAATGGCCGAGCGGGGATGGGCTCTTGAATTGGATGAACCCATGGGCCGGTTCAAATCCGCCCTTGGGGTCGAATGAACCGGCTGGGGGGTCGAATTACAGAGGGGGAATGGGCTCTTGGGTCGGATGAAACCATGGGCCGGTTCAAATCCGCCCTTGGGGTCAAATGAACCGGCGGGGGGGTCAAATAACCGAGGGGGGATGGGATCCTGGGTTGGATGAACCCATGGGCCGGTTCAAACCCGCCCCTGGGGTCCAATGGACCGGGCGGGGGGTAAAAAAAAACCGAGGGGGGGTGGTCCCAAGGGATGGATGAACCCATGGGCCGGTTCTAATCCGCCCTTGGGGTCAAATGAACCGGCTGGGGGGTAAAAGAAACCGAGGGGGGATGGGCTCTTGAATTGGATGAACCCATGGGCCGGTTCAAATCCGCCCTTGGGGTCGAATGAACCGGGTGGGGGGTCAAATAACCGAGGGGGGATGGGATCCTCCTGGGTTGGATGAACCCATGGGCCGGTTCAAATCCGCCCCTGGGGTCCAATGGACCGGCTGGGGGGTCAAATAACCGAGGGGGGATGGGATCTTGGGTTGGATGAGCCCATGGGCCGGTTCAAATCCGCCCTAGGGGTCCAATGGACCGGGTGGGGGGTAAAAAAACCGAGGGGGGATGGGCCCAAGGGTTGG